TTCTTCCCACCGAGGATCTTTGGCCTGGAGAAGACCGACAACTACATCAAATACGACCTCCTGCAGCTGCTGGCCCTCTTCTTCCACAGATCCCTGCTCATGGTCAGTGGAAGGAGGAAGGGGCAGAGGGCAGACATGCAGGAATAGGACAGATAAGCTAAACTTGATAGGAAAAGAAAATATCTTCCATTCTCTGCAGATGTAAAAAACCTACATTTAATAATTTCACAGCTCTTCCTGAGCTCCTCGTCTTTATATTTGGGGAATAAAGCCAACTATGTTTTTCTCTGAAATGCTCTGACTTTAGTTTGAAGGATCAGATATGTGAAGATGCTAAAATGAAGTGGGGCCACCAAGTCTTTGACACAGATTGGTAGTTTTTGGTAGAGTCAGGGTTTTCTATCAGGGCTTAGCAAGAGCCCAGCTTATTTAAGAAAACTCCAACACTACCGGCCTCCTGCTTTTACTCCCTAACCATTCTCATGTTGAGGATCTACACTAAGTAGAGATCCTTTTTGTATCTATACACTAAGTAGAGACCCTTTTTGTATCTATGCACTAAGTAGAGATCCTTTTTGTGTCTATACACTAAGTAGAGATCCTTTTTGTATCTATACACTAAGTAGAGATCCTTTTTGCATTTATACACTAAGTAGAGATCCTTTTTGTATTTATACACTAAGTAGAGATTATTTTCATATCTACACACTAAGTAGAGACCCTTTTTGTATCTATACACTAAGTAGAGATCCTTTTTGTATCTATACACTAAGTAGAGATCCTTTTTGTGTCTATACACTAAGTAGAGATCCTTTTAGTATCTATACACTAAGTAGAGACCCTTTTTGTATCTATACACTAAGTAGAGATCCTTTTTGTATCTATACACCAAGTAGAGATCCTTTTTGTAGACTGAGGGGTTCCCTCAGTGGACAACAGAGGGAACCCCTGTGCACCTCAGGTCTGTGTTTCCAAAAGTCTAAAAGGTCGAGACATGTTGAGGTTCATTTTGGGTAAAATAAGATGCCCATGAAGTCATTTCACACAGGGGTTAGTCCCGATTCAGGATGAGAGCAGGGTGTAATCAACACCACCCTCATAGGCCTGTATGTGTGTTTGTATGTGTGTGTGTGTGCACAGAAATATGGCCTCTGGGATCACGAGGGCCCCCTGAAGGAGCAGAGTCAGCAAAACCCTGCAGAGGGAGTCGAAGACGGAGGGAGGAAGGCGCAAAAAGGAGAAGGAGAGAGCCCTGGGTCCACCCACAGAGAGCTGGACATCTCTACCTCCAACCCACCCCAAAAGGTCCGACTGGGAAACATGTTCAGAGATTTAGTTCTGCTCTCTCATTTTTTATTTAACATTTCTGAACACATACAGTGGAGAGGCATCAATACATTCAACTTCATACACAATGTTGGAGAAACGTGTCCATATTTAGCTGGGTACCAGGGTGGTATTCTCCTTGCCTCTGTAGTCGCTCCATTTTTCCCCAATTTAACATCAAACCTGTCCTCCTGCAGTCTTAGTCTATGTGTGATTTTCTCCATTACGAAAATCTCTTCCACAATGCTCAGCCACTGCTCCACTGCAGGAGGGTCATTGCTCTCTCATTTTGATCCTATCTCCACCAAAAACAGGACTCTGTGGACTCTGCTGACCCGGGTACCAGCTCAGCTCCTGCTATTGCTAAACCACAGGGGGGGGACGGTGACACAGTGGAAAAGATGGAACAGGAGGACTTGCAGGAGCCAGTGGAGGTCCCAAAAAGAGCCAGCAGCATCCGATTCCGCAAAAGAGCCACACAGTCCAAACAACAGCGCACAGGTTAGTGTCATAAGGGAAACCTCCACAAACGCAACCTGGATCACAGCTTCATGGAATTTTGTCACTTACCCCAAATAGTGGAGGCCCCCGCTGAGCCCACAGAGTCCAGGAAAGAGCCAGTGAAGAAGAAGCTGAAAGGCCGGAGGAGGGAGACGGCCATGTTGAGGATTCAGGCTGTAGGGGAGAGGATAAAGCACGTTTTCTCATCCGGGTGAGATGGTTGGAGCAGGAAACTACCAGCAACGAGGAGCTTTCCAGTGTCTGCTGCATGTGAATGCTTACAGTGGGGGAAATAAGTATTTGACCCCTTACTGATCTTGCAGGTTTGCCCACTTTCAATTCAATTCAATTCAATTTTATTTCTATAGCGCCACATCACAACAACAGTTGTCTCACAGCTTTCCAAACAGAGCAGGTCAGACCTACTCTGAAGTTAATTACAGAAACCCAACAATTCCCACCATGAGCAAGCACTAGGCGACACAGGCAAGGAAAAACTTCCTTTTAACAGGCAGAAACCTGGAGCAGAACCATGGCTCAAGGTGGGCGGCCATATGCAAAGAATGCTTATTTTTCCTCATCAGATGGTTATCAATTTTTATAAATTCATATGAGGTGATTTTCTGGAATTTTCTTTGGGATTCTGTCTTTCACTGTTAGAATGTACATATGATTAAAGTTATAGATCGTTGCATTCTTTGTAAGTGGGCAAACCTGCAAAATCAGCAAGGGCTCAAATACTTATTTCCCCCACATTGTACATAGAGGTGGCCCGTAGAATGAATTCTGCTCCAGTGCAGAGGGTTTGTGAAATAACTGATTGTCATATTGATGAGAACTGGAACATTGGGTCTGCTTTGGGAGAAAAGTGTCTAAATGCAGAGACAGAAACTGTGTTTTCTCTGTGTCCCTCTGCAGAATCCAGAGTGTGAGGAGGCCAGCTCAGGGCTTCTTCAAGAAAATAACCAAGCACGAGGATGAGAACCGGGCTGCCACAGACGTCTACGCTCTGATGTTCCTGACGGACGTGGTGGACTTTGTCATCATCATTTTCGGCTTCTGGGCGTTTGGGGTGAGAAAGTTCTGCTCTGTGTTCCTAACTCCCGCTGATAAAGAGTCCTCTGCTCCTCTAGATGGAGATTAAAAGTGAGATGAGGGTTAGTTTAGCAGGTTAGCTGCAGGTCCAGGTTCAGGCTCTGGACCCGGAATGTTGCCTTTCCTTTTTTCCATCCACAGATTTGTCTTCAAAGACGGTCATTCTCTCTTTTTTTTATATTCCAATTCATGGCATCATGACAGGATTCTCCATTATAGCTCAGGTTCCAGCCTCTGCTGTGTTCTAGGTGCTCAGAGAAATAAAAATCATGTTCATTGCTTGTTATATGCTGTTATAGTGGTAAAGTTATTGTTTCCATTTTTGTTTCCAATTTGACCATTTCTTTGTTTGTTTTCCTCAACAAACCTTTCCCACCTTGGGTGTCCAATACTGTGGTCTGACGTGTGAAATTAAGTCCAGGAGATGGTTATTGTGTGTCTTTTGATGGTTTATTGTAAAAAATTAAACTTGATTATAACAAAAGATCAGTCCAAGTTTGCAGTGCCAAATCACGGTCAGTGACTGTCTTCAGCCTTTTATAGGCGCAGTTCCCGCCTTCACCTATAGGTGGAGACATGGAAACAAGCTGGCATAGAAATTAATATATGTAGAAATTAAGAAAGTATGTTGTCAAATAACTAAAATAAACAAATGGCTCCTACAGCTGTAATTCTCTGTCATTGTTTGGGATGGAACAGGCTCATTTCTTTCTTTTTTCTCTGGGGTCTGTGGTCCTGGGGGCAGCCCTTGAGCAGTGCACGTTATTCCAGTGTGCTCATTGATCCTTGTGCTCTGTTCAGAAACACAGCGCGGCGGCGGACATAGCCTCCAGCCTGTCGGAGGACCAGGTTCCCGAGGCCTTCCTGGTGATGCTGCTCATCCAGTTCAGCACCATGATAATCGACAGGGCCCTGTATCTGCGCAAGGCCGTGCTGGGAAAGCTCCTCTTCCAGGTATTGGCAGGGTTTCGAGCACAGAAAAAGCTGTGTATTGGAGCTAAAAGCATGGACACAGCATGGTTTGTGGTATTTGTGCGTCTCTGTTGTGTTCTCTTTATCTCACTGCCGTCATGCTTTCCCTCCAGGTGATCCTTGTTTTGGGGATCCACCTGTGGATGTTCTTCATCCTGCCCGCGGTCACTGAGAGGTACTGTGAGGATTTATGCTTTCCTTTGGGCTAAACCCCCGGAGGCTCATTTTCTTCCATGTGCAGTTCACGTCCACACTTGTGCATTTGAATTGATCATGCTTTATTCATGCCTGTCCGAGGTTTAAATAGGCCCAGTTATCCTGAAATAGAGCAGGGCTCCTCATCATGTGTGTTTCTCCCCTGTTTGCAGGATGTTCAATCAGAACTTTGTGGCCCAGCTCTGGTACTTTGTGAAGTGCATCTACTTTGGCCTGTCAGCCTATCAGATCCGCTGCGGTTACCCGACTCGCATTCTGGGCAACTTCCTCACCAAGAAATACAACCATCTCAACCTGTTTCTCTTCCAAGGGTAGGGGCGGCTCTGAGGAGGCTCTGAGGAGGTCTGAGTGTGCTTTGAGGAGGCTCAGTGTCTCTGAGGAGGCTCTGAGGAGGCTCTGAGGAGGTCTGAGGAGGCTCTAAGGAGGCTCAGTGTGTCTAAGGAGGCTCTGAGGAAACTCTGAGGAGACTCAGTGGGCTCTTAGGAGACTCTGAGGAGACTCAGTGGGCTCTGAGGAGACTCTGAGGAGGCTCTAAGGAGGCTCAGTGTATCTAAGGAGGCTCTGAAGAGGCTCTGATGAGATTCTGATGAGATTCTGAGGAGACTCAGTGTGTCTAAGGAGGCTCTGAAGAGACTCTGAGGAGGCTGAGTGTGCTCTGAGGAGACTCGGAGGAGTCTCTGAAGAGACTCAGTGGGCTCTGAGGAGGTTTTGAGTTTGCTCTGAGGAGGCTGAGTGTGGGGCTGTTGCTCAGATTCCGTCTGGTACCGTTCCTGGTGGAGCTGCGGGCTGTGATGGACTGGGTGTGGACAGACACCACTCTGTCCCTGTCGGACTGGATGTGTGTGGAGGACATCTACGCCAACATCTTCATCATTAAATGCAGCCGGGAGACGGAGAAGGTAGGAGCACAGCACCTCCTCAACCAAGGAGGAAACCCTAACCCAGCTTTCTCACAGAGAGGATATGTAGCTAAGCTAATGCTAGTAATGGTGGGCTACGACTGCTTGTTTTCTACTGGATGACGAAGAACCAGAAAGGTGCTCTGCCCAGCGTAAAAGTCCTGATCTCTTAAAAAAAGTTTGGTCTGTTAAAAAAAGCCTGTTAAAAGGAAGTTTTTCCTTGCCTGTGTCGCCTAGTGCTTGCTCATGGTGGGAATTGTTGGGTTTCTGTAATTATCTTCAGAGTAGGTCTGACCTGCTCTGTTTGGAAAGCTGTGAGACAACTGTTGTTGTGATGTGGAGCTATATGAATAAAATTTTATTGAATTGAATTGAATGTCAGGACATTATCAGCTATAAAATGACTGTCTATCAAATGGATATGCAGAATAGAAAATAAAGGAGTAAGAAATGTCTTTTTTTCCCCCAGAAATACCCCCAACCCAAAGGACAGAAGAAGAAAAAGATCGTGAAATACGGCATGGGCGGACTGATCATCTTCTTCTTGATTTGCATCATCTGGTTTCCCCTGCTCTTCATCTCATTGGTCAGATCAGTGGTGGGCGTGGTTAACCACCCCATCGACGTCACCGTCACGGTCAAACTGGGAGGATACGAGGTAACCAGCTTCATGTCCTGAGTCTCTCTCAATTCATCACAATAAACAAATGAAGAAAATTCTGTCTATTTGATGAACTGTTTAGTTCCTCTGAGAACTGAACCGTGTCAGACTTTACTGCTAGCAAACTGGTTGTCCAGAACCCGAACCCTTAACCCTAACCACAACCCCAAACCTTAACCCCTAACCGAAACCTGAACCCCGAACCCAAACCCTTAACCCTAACCCCTAACCTGAACCCCTAACCTGAACCCCTAACCCAAACCCCTAACCCTAACCCAAACCCTTAACCTTAACCTGAACCCCTAACCCCTAACTCCTAACCCCTCACCCCTAACCCTAACCCCTAACCTGAACCCCTAACCCAAACCCTTAAACTTAACCTGAACCCCTAACCTGAACCCCTAACCCAAACCCTTAAACTTAACCTGAACCCCTAACCTGATCCCCTAACCCGAACCCCTAACCCAAACCCTTAACCTTAACCTTAACCTTAACCCCTTACTCTAACCCTAACCTGAACCCTTAACCTGAACCCTGAACCCCTAACCCCTAACCCCTAACCCGAACCCTTAACCTGAACCCCTAACCTGAACCCTTAACCCTAACCCCTAACCTGAACCCCTAACTCCCTTTTAAAGACGCATAACCTTCATGCTTTCTTCTGTGTGTTTCAGCCTCTGTTCACCATGAGTGTGCAGCAGCAGTCCATCCAGCCCTTCACTGAGGCGGCGTATGAGCAACTGACCAAAGACTTTGGAAACAACGCTGTGAGTATGCCTCCGGTTACAGGACATCAATCAATCAATCAATCAAGTTTATTTGTATAGCCCTTTACAATACCCAAATGGTACTCAAAGTGCTTTACAACAAAGCCATGAAACAATACAAAAAACATACAAAACATACAGAAAGGAGGAAGCCTAAGAGACCCTAGTCCGAATTAAATGCTAATTTAAAAAAGTGGGTCTTAAGCTTTTTTTTTAAAAGGCTGAGGACCCCTGTGACATCACCACAGGGCGTCAGAGGCCCCTCCCACTGTGACATCAATCAATCAATCAATCAATCAAGTTTATTTGTATAGCCCTTTGCAATACCCAGATGGTACTCAAAGTGCTTTACAACAAAGCCATAAAACAATACAAAATACATACAAAACATACAGAAAGGAGGAAACCTAAGAGACCCTAGTCCAAATTAAATGCTAATTTGAAAAAGTGGGTCTTAAGCTTTTTTTTTTAAAAGGCTGAGGACCCCTTTGACATCACCACAGGGCGTCAGAGGCCCCTCCCACTGTGACATCAATCAATCAATCAATCAAGTTTATTTGTATAGCCCTTTACAATACCCAAATGGTACTCAAGGTGCTTTACAACAAAGCCATAAAACAATACAAAAAACATACAAAACATACAGAAACAACTAAAAGTGCTGTAGTGGTGCATTAAAAGCCTTCCAGAAAGGAGCAGACAGAAGGAAGAAACCTAAGAGATCCTAGTCCCAATTAAATGCTAATTTAAAAAAGTGGGTCTTAAGCTTTTTTGTTACACAGGCCTTAGGAGCTGTGTTTGTGTTGTGTTTCACACGTCAGGTTGCCATGCAGTTCATCACCCTCTACAGCTACGACGACATCGTGACGGCCATGATTGAGGGCAGCTCAGGGTCCGTGTGGAGGATCAGTCCTCCCAGCAGACAGGAGCTCATCAAGGAGCTACTTGAAAGTCCGGTGGACCTCACGCTACGCCTGGCCTGGACTTTCCAGAGGTAGGCTGTAGCTAGAACCATAACCCAGCTGTCTGATAGCCAGCAGACAGCACAGGACTGTCTCCGAAAATTAGAATATTGTGATAAAGTTCTTTATATTCTGTAATGCAATTAAAAATCATGAAATGTCATACATTCTGGATTCATTACAAATCAACTGAAATATCGCAAGCCTTTGATTGTTTTAATATCGCTGATTATGGCTTACAGCTTAAGAAACCCAAATATCCTATCTCAAAAATATTAGAATATCGGATTTTTGAGTTTTCTTCAGCTGTA